TCTGGGTTGGGAGTTGTTTTTTTTCAGGACCTGAAATATTTCATTCTATGCCATTTTTTATTTGATGGTTGATGTGGAGAAATCTGCAATGACTCTGATGAGCTTTCTATTATAAACAATTAGTTTTGTTTCTCTAGCTCCTTTTAACATTCTTTTCTCAATCTCTTGGATTTTGATTATTGTGTTCCTCAATATAGATATAGTTTTATTATGGTTAACTGGAGTCCTATATGCCTATCTTATTGCATCTCAGATTCTTTTCCCACACTTTCAAAATTTTCTGCTACAAATTTGCAGATACTCATTTTTTTGTGATTTGTTTTGACTCCAGCTGTTTCATAGATACTTATTAATCTTATTTTTTACATCATCTTCTAGCTGTTGCATTGTTATTTCCTGGTTCCTTGTTACTTTAAAGAAATTATTCCTTTATGTTCACTGCTTGCAATGCTATATACAAGGTCTGAAATTCTATCATCTGTTTTGTCCAAGCAGTTGTTACAGCCAGAGATCTGAATCTGAAGGAAAGTTTTTTCACAATACGAAGTACTAGTTTCACACTTTGGAAGTCCTCTGCATCTGGAATCATGAATGCATTTAACGCACCATTAGATTAATGGTAATGAATTACTATAGAATCATGAAAACATTAATTTATTAATTTAGTTTTATGCCAAGTGTGTCTTTTGTGAGAAAACCTAATTGCAATTTTGTTGAAAATCTTTATCTTTTGACCAATAACCAAATTAATAAGAGTATCTCCGAAGAGACTATGGAGATTGTTGGGCGCTCCTTCTAATTGAGCAAAGACTGGTCACCCTTCTAGTCACTAATTGTTGTCCTGTCCTATAATATCTCCCAAGTCTAAGGAATTTTTGTTAATTATCTGAAATCTTTTGATGACCTGTAAGTAAACCAATTTTTATATCACTTAGGCCAGCTAGTAACTCAAGAGAAAGCCTCCTTTCAAATCTACATTCTAAATTGTATCATGAACAAATATTCAAAGAAGAGAAAAACTGTTGAGTTCAGATCAAAAGAGCAACAAATGTTCATAGAATGACATATAATTGTAAACAAGTATACCAAACACACAAATAACTATCTTCACAAATTCAGGGTATACTCAAGTATATTTTTGAACAAATTGAACTATAATAAACGTATTATAATGTTTAGAAATTTATAATTATAAACTGAGTAGTCAGATTTTGTTGTTTATTAATTAGCAGAGATTTCTTATCAGAAAAAGTTGGAATACAATCTTTTCTTTACAATGAATATGCATGTCTTGTATTATATTTTGTCTTGAAAATACTGGTAACTTTTAGGTCAGTTATCTCTATACATTTGCTCACCTATTTAGATGTTAGATTTCCATTTTGTCAGTTCCTTCAGTACACCCCAGATCAAAGCTAGCCTCATCATTGTCAAATTCTTCTGCAAATCTGTGTTCATATTACCTAACATCACACTCTGGTATCCACATAGATTATTCAACATTCTCTGAGAAAACACAAGCATATACTCCACCACAGAGTAGCTTTTCTTTTTTTCTTTACCTGATTGATTTATCTTACAGTTGCTGTACTTCCATGTTTTGCAAAATTTTAAACAACTAATAGTATATGTTGACAAGTAAAGTGGGAGTGATTCATTCTCCTTTCATTTTTATAATTGAATTTTGAACATACAGTGAGAAGCCTGTGTCCTATTTTTGAAAGTGGAATCCATCACACTCTTAACCTAATATGACCATTTGTGAAGACAAGCAAATTAATTTAACTTCATGAAGGGATATGACCATCAATAACACCAGAGATATTAGTCCAAAATCTCACTGGAGCCAATGAATAATACCAAATAAAGCCTGAAAATCATTTTAAGTTGATCTCAACTGTTTGGGACACCACATGTATCTGATGGATAAATTTTCCCAAATCTAAAGAGATTATCATAGCTTATACCCTTTGGATGCCATCATCAGGCCTGCCTTTATTAAATGGGATTTCAAACTCTAGTTACTTCTTAGGCTCCAGTGCTTTTAGACTATACTTCAAATGTTTATATTTTTTTGGAAAATATCAAAGTTTTTAGGTACCATATGAATTTAGGACTGTAAAACAGGGTTCCACTTTACTAGGAATCGAGAGTTTTATGTAATCATTAAAATTACCTTCATCAATGTAAATCTTAGAAAACATGATTTTTTAAACCAAAATTAAACTGTATTTTTAGGATGGAAATGGTCTTTTACATTCATCACCTTATGGGGAATATGTGAATGCTTTTCTTATAGTGTTAACTGTGATTGAGAGAGAGAACCTCTCTATTTACTTCTTTTATGTGCGGGTCTACCTCTGGTATAATGGCCCTTCATATGCCTCCAGGTCAACAGTCTGACATCTTTGTTCCTGTGAAGTTGTAGCTGCCCTACCCAAAGACCATCTACACTTGTGTCTGAAAAGCCCTTTAGAATGCTTTGGTTTCACTTTGATTAATTAATTTCTATTTTTAACAAAATATACACCTTTTTATTATTTATTTTTTTAAATTTGTTGTCCAAGAAAGAAAGAGTCATTGAGTGATATGAGTGTAAAGTAATTTGAACAGTATTTCAATTAGATTAAAATAAAAGCCTTCTTTTTCCCTGTATAACCAGCATGGATGACACCAGGAGAAACCTGAGAACCTTTGATATTGGGACTCGACTTCTGGTTGCTGTTTTTGCTGTATCACTCAAGGTTGGTCAAACTGCTAGTACTGGGAAAGATTTCCCTTAATCAGACTCCTCCTCCCCAAGCCACATGGGAGATATCACCTGATAGTGACAGTTGCTGTGTGTAGGCTGTTAGTTTTAACTGCTTGCTGTTTTGTTCTTGCCCAGATTTCAAGTGCAGTCACTATTTTAAGTTAAACAAGTTTTCATTCCCAGGAGTACAAACAATGAATGCTGAGGACTATGTGTACAGTAGTCATTACCCTTCTATTTAGCTCAAGGTACATGGACTCTAGTTGGTGGCATGTGGCAACAGTTGCAGCTGGACTTGGTAGATGGATTCAGGTGGCTTGGGAATCCCAGCTGTGTCTACCCAGGTCCTGAATGCTGAACCCTTCTTGAATGTGTTTTATTCCACTCCCCCTGACTCTATCCCTGTGCCACTCAGACCTAGCCTCTTGCAATTTAAAAGAATTTCTCCATTTTTCCTGGATTGAGCAAACCTAGAGGATTTACACTATCAGTGGTACATTTTTACTACCCTTCTTGTTCCATTTGGGACTTGATTTTAAAGGAGTATTCCTTGCTAAGACCTTTGTGGTGTTAGAAAGTAAAGTAAATGCAGGAACTAAAAAAAAACCAAACATTTTTATATAAATATGTACACATCTATGAACATCTGTGTTTCTTGAAACTCTAAATTTACATAATCTTTTCCTTTTTGGTTTCTCTTAAGGCTGTTTTTCTCTTTAAGCTCATTAATCCCTCTGGTCATAGTGAACCCATTTCTGGTTCTAGTGAGCCTCCAACCCCGAGCTTGACACCTGATGGTGCCAGTACCAGTGCACACTTGTGATGAATAGGGGCCCTAACAAATTCACTTCTCCACTCTTTTTAGAAGTGTTCCTGCTGCCAACTTTTACCTTTGACGAGTGCTCCCTGGTCAGGCCTCTAAATGTGGGAACTTATTGATCTCTCAGTATACCCAAGTAGAAATTGCAGTAGAAAGAAAAACAAGAGACAAGAGCTGAGTTCATGTAAAGGCTTCTTTGCCTGATTGCCAAAACATCTCATAAATATAGTGAGCTTGTTTTTTAATGACTTTGCAAGTTTTGTATAAAGAGAAATGAAGTTGCATAGTGACTGATGGCTGAAATTGTCCCAGCAACATGCTTTCCTTAAGACTGAGGTAGTTGACTGCTTTAGCCCCTGTGCATCTCCTGCCCTCACATATATAACGAATTTCCAGCTTCAACACCCACAACAAATTCTATCTTGTATTCCTCATTGAATTTTTGGGTAAGTTCTGGAGTTGTTAGTGTTAGGCCTTTAAGAAAGTTTCATATTTTTACCATGAGAATCTAGTTGGGTTTCTAGAGGTAAGAGATACAAATGTGTGAAAATCTTGCAAATCTCAACCCTGAGAAGTTTTAGATTCTACCTAAATCTCTCTCAGCTGCCAGCCCTTTGCCTGTTGCCACTTATGTGTTCCTATCAGTTGTTCAGTACTAGTAGCTTTTGTATCTGGTCTGCTCTAACCCTCTTTCTTAGCTGGTATTTCTGCTTTATGAAGTAACAATTTTTGCACTGACCAATGCTTTAGTTAACTAATATTTTTTTTTTCTTTCAATTGTAAAATGTTTCTCTGGGCAGAGTTGTGGCCATTTTGTACTAAGAAAGCCATATTGGACTGAGGGGGCTGTGTGTGCACTAGGGAACATTCTCCTCCCTCATTCCAGTGAGACAGGACATCCCAGCCCATTAAGGGACACAGTAGGGAGAACAGGCTGACTTCTACCCTATTATGCAAATTTATACTACACATATACACTCCAAGCAAAAATAAGGAAATGTTCATCCCTCTAGGACCACCAGGAATCCTGACTCTATAAAATCTGTAGCTATAACCACACCTGTGGTTGACATTCTGCACTCCATGTCACATGTTGTCTGTGGGACAATAAACATTATTTGTCTCTCCTCACCCTCCCGGGGTAAATCTTCCAGTTTCACAACAGCAAAATGATAACTATCTTGTTACATATTGGAGTACATACCTGAAATTCCTTGTATAAATGATGCATATTGAGGTTTCCGGTATAAATATTACTTCAGTGATTTTAATTGATATGTAGAATTGTGTAAGCATCCCTTGCTTTTCCTTTTAGGATATTGTCACTTCCCACATTCTTGGAAGTCTTTTTGCAGTCATGGCCCTCATCCGTGCTCACCATGAATGGGATTCAGTAAAGCAACCATAGGCAGAACATTTATCAAGTTTAAATTACTATTAGATGAACAATTTAGGGAGTAGAATATTGTATTTACAGAGATCTAAATGAAGGATTTTATTTGAAGGACGTTGTTTGGGAGACCTTAAGACTAGTGGATATTACTTGTGCTTGATTTGACTTCTCTTTGCTGGTAACTTGTACTTATAAACCTGTGGGCTGAGCTCAGAAGAAGAACTTGGTAGAAAAATATATGATTAGAGGAGAGATAGATAATTTGCAGGGAGTGTTTATTAGAGTTCAAATTTTATCATTTTTAAGTCTTTAAAAATTTGGTTAGAAGAAAGCGACATTAAGTGAGTACAACACTCTCCATACCTCTTTTATTTTTTTTATTTTTTATTTATTTGAGAGAGAGAGAGAGAGAGAGAGAGAGAGAGAGAGAGAGAGAGAGAGAGAGAGAGTGGTGTGTGTGTGTGTGGCCAGCTCAGCATACCAGGGGGCGGGGCTGGCTGGCATGTGGTGCTGGGGGATTGAACCGCGGTCCCTGATGCCTTGCCAAGCTTGTTCCAAGTAGGTGCTTTAGACCACTGAGCCATCTCTCCAGCCCCATACCTCTTTTAATGCCTGATAAATTCTTAGTCTTTCTGTGTCTCCTTTCCCTTACTGCTAAGAGTCAGATCTTCTCTCCCTGAAGGCCTTCCCTGCATCCTTTTTGCTGCATCGCTCAGAGGTGTGAAGTGTTTTTATGTTTTATGAGGATTCCACCTAAATACTGAATTTTTGTGTACTCAACATGTCCTGTACAGGAACCTGAGCTGAGTCCATTTGGTGAGAAGCCAGAACTGAAGGAGTAGGTGGAGGAAAGAATGTCAGCAGATCTGGAGGGTGAGGACATCCTGGAATGGACAATGTCATTATGAGACTGGTAGAAACTAAAGAGGATGAGGTAAGAATTTTGCATTCAGAAAATTCAGGGGAAGCCCAGGAATGCCTCCCTGCATCCATCTCTAGCAGAAATAGCATGAGTTAAGCAGCATTGAGTAGGAGACAAATGTACTCCACAGTGAATTTGTCCATCTGCTCAATGAGCTCCACTATGTGGACATAATACAGGTTTATATAGCCTGCAAGCCCCAAAACAAATCCAGGGATGATATGAACATGAGGTTCTGCTCATGATATCTGGGCTTAGAATTGAAAGTTGCCCCCTACTGCCCATAAAGGGAATATGAGGTCTGAGGGAATAAACAAAACTTAGAGAAGGTGAAAGCCACAATTTGGGGGCCAGAAAAATGGCTCAGTGGCCTAAGTGCCTGCCTGGGAGGCACATGGTTCTGAGTCAGTCCCTGGCCTGGAAAAACAAAAACAAAAACAACAATAACAAAAAATACAATTATTGGCATGTTTAGCAGTTCTGCACTAGTTGATGGAGAGAATTTAAGGATAGTGGGCTTGTGCTTCATAACTAGGCACTTGTGCCCTTTTCTGCTCTCTGCTGAGGAAAGTTTGCATGCTGTCAGCATTTCTCACATGTTTGCTAATAATTACTTCATTTTTTATACTTTGTTAAAAAATCCTGAGAGTTTAAGTATCAGTGAGGGTTCAGTGGAGAAATAAAAGTCATGATATGATTAACATACACTATTTCAAAACCATATAGTAAATGCCCTCAACCGAGGGCCCTTCTTGGCACAGAATGTAGGTGAATTTTTCAGAGACCGTGTTCCTCTTGACAAGGTGATCCAGCAGAAGAAACCCTGGGGAGAGTCACCTTTTTCTTTGGTGCTCACAGGTGCAAGGAATGTCATAAGGCTTGGATGGCTTGTGGAGGTCATTTGATTTTCTCTGCGAGAATGACCGCATATCTGACAGGATGTTTGATTCGAAATACAGTTGTGATAGTCAGAGGTGAAATATTTCTGTGCATTCACTGAATGAACACTTCTGAGAGCCTCCTCAGTGTTTGGTTCTTAGTTGGAAACTGTGTATAGACACAAGTCAAACATCTCTCCGGCATTCAAGGGCTCTGAGTCTCAGTGACCACTGCCTCCTCAGAGTGAGTTTCAATACACTTGAAGTAGCCAGTGCTATGTAGGCATATACCAATGCTTGTGCTGATTTTCCTTTTTTCTTTCCTTCTAACAGTTTCATGACCTGTTTCGGAATAATGATGTCTGAAGGCTCAGAATAATATCAGCTGTTGGCCAGCCATAATGGCACCTGCCGGTAATCTCTGTACTTGGGAGGCTAAAGTAGGAGAATCACTTGGAGTTCAAGGTCATCCTGAGCTGTTTAGCTATTTCCTGGAGAGTCTAAACTATAGAGTGAGACCCTGAATCAAAAAAAGAAAGAAAAGAAAATATAAAGAGAAAGAAAGAAGAATTGAAATGAAAAGGAAAAAAGTAAAGAAAAGAAAGGAGAAATACAAGCTGGAGAAGTGAAGGTGGGGTCAAAGTAGTACACTGCCGAGATCTGAAAGTGCAACTGATAACTGCAGAACACTTCTGTATTTTCTAGACAGCAGGAAAGATGAATTGGCAAGTTTACAAAATGTGTAAGTTTATCATTGTCAAGTTTATCATGAAATCCTATACTCTCTGATCAATGCTTTTCAAACTTCACTATTTTTTCCCTTTTGAAGGTAAATTAAATAGTATTCATATTTTACACATGCGGCAGTTATTTTATCCTCAAATTTCAAATTAAATTGAGTAGAAATAATTTAAAAAATATTTTGTATTTCTAGTAAAAGTGTAGGGAGGAAGGTATTACTAAAATTCTGTCTTTCTGATGCTGAAGTCATTAATAAGCACCTTAATGAGAATCAGCTAACAGCTCTGCTCTGCCTTTCTTTCACCCTGTCTTAGAAAAATGCTCTATGAAGATAAAGAACTGGGACTTTAAATTAGTGAAGCTGAACTGTCATGCTATTTTTTTTATTTTCTTTGTATCAGGAACTGAATTCATGCCCTTGTGCTTGCAGGGCAGATTCAGTTTCCTTGAGCTAGATCCCTGGTCCCCATGTAATGCCTTTTGGTAAAAGCATTATGTCAAGCACACAAGGGAGGTGTAGCGAAATCTTGAGTCCTCAATGTATCTAACAAACTGGGAAATATGGTTGTGAAAGAAAGTAGATCCCAGATTAGGAGAATCTAGCATAAGCAGAGTAGAGTATACAAGGACCTGATGGTGGTGGACAGATACTTTGGTAGTGCCAAGCAGATGGCTCAGTTTAATACTGCATTTTAGAAAAAAGTATGTTCTGAAATCATTGTGTACAAAATTTATCCTTTATTTAGTGTTCCAATGATAATCACTGCTAATTTTGGTTGGGAATTTCTTTAGGTTTTTAGATATAACTAAAATCAATACTAGTACACAGTGTAGTTGGAAGACAGTTTGTCATCAAAGAGACCATCTTTCCAAGCAATTGCTAGGGTTCTCTTTCCTTTACATGCTCTATGGTCCATGATTGTATTTATTGTACCTCCCACTCTAGCAAGCACAGAAATTAATCTGAACAGATCTGGTTTCTGTAGGAGCCCAGCTCAACAGAGAGGCTTCCGATGCCTAGGTGGAGAAGACAGCTGAGAGAGTAAGGAGGTGCACAGGGCATCGCTCCCATCCTGCCTCTGCCTCTCAGTTCAGCCTCAGCTTTCTGTTTTCTACACTCCATTGGGCATATTCACTGTGGGATTTTCTCACCGTGGGTCCATGCTGTGGATCTTGATAAGTTCAGGTAGTGGGACTCAGTCACAGATCAACAACCTGAGTCTACCTCCCTCAGACAGATCGAGCCATATTCCATGAAAAGGGTTTTATGCCTCTGTTTTGTAAACAGAAAGAAGACATCAAAATGTCACATATTTACAAATCTTTTCTAAGAACTCAATGACATACTCAAGCTTATATACAATAAATAATTGTATTCAGTTTGACTGCTGGTAAGAAGCTTTTGTGGGAGTAGAATAAAATCTCAAATATGTACATTCTTCGGTAGTTAGCGATGTAGAAAGGAGCAATGAAAAAATCATGAATCAACACCTCCAACCTCTCTGGATGTTGAAAGGTGGTGAGGTCAGATTTAAGTTGTGTGTAATGATGGTTCTCATCCCAGGAATTAAAGTGCAAGCCAACATAAAATTGAAGAATGGCAAGAATAATACTGAGAAGCAATGTTAGAAATTGAAAATGAAAACATTTTATTCTATTTTATTATACATTACTCCTTCATCTATAATTTTAAGGAATTTAGAAATAATGGAGTAAAACTCAGAGAGGAGCACTTTGATGTTTTTTTGCATTTTTGCAATTATGTGATTTTAATATTTTTCCTGAAAACATCCTTAAAGTGTACTTTAATGATAAAGAAATATTGATATATCTTCTAGACAGTGCTAAGGAAAGCACAGTATGTTTGGAAATGGTTTCTTCTATTTTATATATATGAATGAGCGCTGTGAAAAGTGTGTTGGTCTCTGGAAAGAGGCCATAGGTGTTGCCCTGAGACAACATAAATTAGGACATAAGACTGTGGAACAACCAAGCATTTGTCACCAGTTGTCTTCTGGGACAAGACTCACAGTAGCTTTGATACCTGCATAGCTGAAGCTGCTGGAAATGTGGGCTTCTTGACATTCCGTGACATCAGCACATTCTATTACCCTGGCAGCAACTGTCAACATTACCTGCTTTGCTTGAGTCTGAGCTACAGGCAGCACCTTCAGCTCTGGTGCTTGATACTTGTTTTTAAGGTTAAGAATTCTCAAGGGTTCTTGGTGTTGTTCATCTCAATAGTAAGTTAGTAAGTATAGTTTTTGTATCACAGTCCTCATTCAATCTATTTGATTTCATTTCATTTGAACTTATCATATGTTAGGGTTATGTCCACAGTCTCTCGTTCTACCTGTTCCACCACCATCCATCATCATGGGACTACACATCAGGTCTTCTTGTCATTCAAAGGCTGACCTAAGTAATTCATATACTGAGCAGGATTTACGATCACAGCTGGAGAAGACTAAGGAGAAGTTTCATGAACTCAAAGGATGTTTTCTTGTGTCTGAAGCTACTGTCTATTCCATGGCTAATGAGCTGAAAAGGCACAGTAAGTTCGATGGTTCATGATTCCCCAAACTGATGAGAGTTTTCACTGTGAAGGAAGAATATTTTTTCCAAATTTGATGTTTCTCCCATTTTCCCAGAATGTTCGATGTTCATTTTTGTTCTTGAGTTAATGATGATGAAAAAACTGAGGCTCAAAGCATTCACCAAATTCGCTCTTTTTCTTTTATTATTTACACAGGGTATCATTATATAATCAAGTCTGATCTTGAACAAACTGTGTATCCCTACTGAGCTCAAACTCATAGTGATCATCCTGTATCAGCTGAGATTTCTCTTATAGTGAAATTTAGGGTAAGACTAGGGTTATTACTTGATATTAACATGTAAATGAGACCAAGGTTAAAACATCTTACTGATTCCTCAACCAAACACAGAATTAGCTCCTCTGCTGAAGATCAGGTATGTCCATTGTTATTAGTCTTCTTGTGTACCTTAGGAGATCCTGTAGATGTATATCACTATTGACTTAAAGGTCTAGGCCCAATGATACTCCATTTTATTTAAGCTTCTGCTGACTTCTTATTGACAAAACACTGTGATCATTATTCTTGGAAATATGTAGGTAGTACTCTCCTGTATTAATGGGCTGAGGGAGAATTCTGCTGCTAACTCAAAGTATAGCAACCATAACTGTCACCATAGGTACCAGAAACTGCCTTGAAGAAGGAGCCCTGTGTCCTAGGTTAAAGGCTTTCTTTTAACGCCAAGTGAAACACATTTCACTCCAATGTAATGGGAGAAATTTTGGGGATCATAAGGAAGTGTCCCATCCACATATAGCTGAGCCAGTGAACCTGGAGGGACACAGCAAGGCCAGCTGGCCAGAGTGTACCAGTAGGGTTTCAGCAATGAGACATGAAGCCAAACATGTGGATCCCATCAGTCACAGGAAGTCCCATGCTGTGTGCAGGGCCCTCTCCCCACTGCACTGAGCATGGCAGCAGGAGCCTTTTGGGCAGAGCACTGAGAGGGGATGTGTTGATTGAAGGAGTAGGGACAAGGCCTATGTGCACCAGCAAGAGCACACACAATCCAGGCAGCTAGGACCCTGAATTTGCCTCGTTTATGAAGTAAAGTTTTCCACAAAATTCACTGGTGCAATGTTTAGTTCAACTACCATTGATGTACATTAATTATTATTATTTGGAAAAAAATAAACACAATTTCAAAAGTAAATTTCTGAATAACACTAGATAGTATTGTGCATATTGTTGTCTTCAGAGTAGTTACTCAAAGTATAAGGCATAAGCAAATTATCCTCTTAATGTTATTAGCACAGAGCTTTCTTTGCAATTAATTAAGAGAAACTAGCAGTGTGACTGTCTTGTATTTTC